CATTGAATTTCATTTTGTTAGATAGCACCCAGTGTTCAAGTCTGTCCAGATCCTCCTGTATCTTAAGCCTGTCTTCTGGAGCGTTGGCTATTCCTGCCAGCTTGTGTCATCTGCAAATTTGATGAGCTCCCCATCTATCCCCTCGTCCAAATCATTGATGAAAATGTTGAAGAGCACTGGGCCTAGAACAGAGCCCTGGGGCACCCCACTACACACTTCCCTCCATGTAGATGTGGTTCCATTGAGGACCACACGCTGAGTATGGCCGGTCAGCTAGCTACGAATCCATCTGGTGATGATGCTGTCTAACCCACATTTTTCTATCTTATCAAGTAGTAGGTTGTGATCTACTTTATCAAATGCCTTACTGAAGCCCAAGTAAACTACCTGTATGTAGTTCAGAGTTGACTTAAAACATTATTCCCATGCATTGATCATGTTATCTAATTGGTAATGAAATGTCTCCAGGAAGAGAAACAAGTTCAGAAAACACCAAGAATCCAATAAAAAGAAAAAGAAAAAGAAAAGAAAAGAAAGCAGGGACAAACAAAATGGTCATATCCTAGAAGCAAATAATTCTGAATTAATAACATTCTTAACTTCTTTTTAAGCAACTGAACAATTATGTATCTCATGACAGATTGCCTTTTCAGTTTCTGAAAAGGAGAAAGAAAATCAGAACGAGACAAAAAAAAGATCTTTATTCTACTGATCTCTCCAGATACAGAAAAAGGTTGTTGACAGCTTTGAAGGGTTTTTCATTTTTGCAGTTTTGCAAAAGATGAATTTTTCATATGGACAAAGAATTTTGAAAGAATAAAAAAGCAAATGTAGCAGTTGGGGGTCCTTTATCACAACAATGCACAAAACTGGAGGAGAGAAGGCAAGACTGTTCACTTTTCTTGTCTTTATTTTTACTGGAATTAGAACCACTGAACCCAGAAATTTTGCTAGGTTTTCAAGGAAGTAGGCTTCTCTTTTTTAAAAAAAAAATATATCTAATTTATTGTACCCTTTCAGTTTTCAAAATGTTGGGATCCAGATGATATTTTTATACATATATATAATTGTGCAGGCAAATTCAGTGCCATAGTCACGGGAGGCCCTGCCAGCCACTAAAAAGAGAATTGGATGTGAGGGTGAAGGTTCGTTCTCCAAGCTTGTGGATTGGTTTCTGAACATTTCGTTACCAGGCTAGGTAACATCTTCTGCTCAGAGAACGAACCTTCACCCCCATCCTACACCAGGGGTCTTCAAACTTGGCCCTTTTATGACTTGTGGACTTCAACTCCCAGAATTCCTCGGCCAGCATGCCTGGCTGAAGAATTCTGGGAGTTGTAGTCCACAAGTCATAAAAGGGCCACATTTGAAGACCCCTGTCCTACACCTTAGCTGCAGATATTCGCCATTATTGCAAAGAATTGGGTGTCTTCCAAATTGCCCCCCTGTTATAGCATGGCATGTCAGTGCAGTCAATTGCTTCTCTTCCAGTGCAGGTTAGTATTAATCTCCAGGGAGAAAGGTCGATTACTTCCTTCAAAAATACTGGCTCTCCTATATGATGCCGCATACATATTTTGTATTTTAGGTAATAAAACTTTGCTCTCCTCACTCCATCCTCTGCCCCATCTGGCTGCCCTCCAAAATATCCTTCTGTTTTGGTCTTCCTATAACACGCTCGTGCAGCTCTCCTTTGGAAAAATTCTTCCTATCTTGAGTGTCTGCTTGCAGAGAAAGTAAGGAAGGTGATGACCTTGATGCAGAGATGCAGGTCCTGTTGTCTAGGCAAAAGGGGCTAAAAAATTTAAGTCCAGAAGAGCGAGATAACTTCTGGAAGGGACTCAGCCAGTCACCTTCTTAATTCACTAAACAACAACAAGGAGGAGGAGTTATCTGACTTGTAAGATTCTGTCATTATACCAATCTGAATAAAAGTATGTTAGCCTTCCTGTGGAGTTAATTTTATGGTCTGGTTTACCTAGTGGGGCTGACACTGCTGAAACACAAGTATAGAGTTGCACACATCTAGTGCCAAGATTCAGAAAGTCTACTTCTTCCTATAGATCAGGGGTGTCAAATTGCCGTCCCGTGGGCTGGATGCGTCATGGCGAAACCACTCCCACCCCATTGCCGGCAATCAAAAAACAGTCATGATATGTCGTGACATGTCACGTGACGTTGCGAGTTTGACACTCCTGTTTCACGTTCTGCCTAGTTTTGCAAATTCTAAAACATCATTTCCTAACCTTAACCATTAGTTCTCCAAGCTCACACTCAAAGAGCAACCAATGCAGAAATAACATTGGCTCCTGTGTGAATAAGAACTAAAAGGCTAGTCTAAGTTAGTCTGATCACAGAGTGATTAAAATTCATTGACTTCTTCAATAATGGAATTGCCAGTGCTTTGGTAAGCCGGTAAGAACGCGCTCTGTTCTTCATTGCCCCTGTAAAAAGTATTTTCTTCTACAGGTAGTCATTGACTTACAACAATTCATTTAGTGACCGTTCAAAGTTACATTGGCACTGAAAAAAATGACTTAGGTCCATTTTTCACACTTACAAGCATTGCAGTATCCCCATGATCATGGGATCAAAATTTGGATGCTTGGCAACTGACTCATATTTATGACGGTTGCAGTGTCCCGGGGTCATGGGATCCACCTTTTGTGACCTTCTTACAAGCCAAGTCTATGGGGAAACCAGATTCACTTAACAACCATGTCACTAACTTAACAACTGCCATGATTCACTTAACAACTGTTTCACTTAGCAACCAAAATTTTGGGTTCAATTGTGGTCGTAAGACAAGGACTACCTATACTGAATAGATACCGAGTTGGTCTTCTATCACCACATTTCATTCAGCTAGTTTAAAACCTTTAATTGAAATTTAATTAATCAGGAAATAAAATCCAACCAAACAGGGTTTTTGTCTTGCTTACTTGTCTGCCTCACAAAATCTCCTTTTCTGAGTAAGGCCCTTGCACTTCACTATAGTTTACAGTGTGGAAGAAGCCCCCAACTCTATAAGGTTTCCTAATTTATATTCTTGGCCTTCCAGCTAAATTGTTAGGCAAAGACAATGCTAGAGATGATTTATTTCAACAGTATAAGACAGACACAGCTAAGATACTTGATAAATATTGTTGGGAGGGACACTTAAATTTTCCTTCCATGGATTCTTTCAACATTTCATTTTTTTGCATCAAAGCATTAAATGATTTGTAGGGTCACACAATGTACTCCAGCACCTATGAATGGCTAGCAGTACATAAAGCTTTAAAAAATAAACATAAGCAACAATATAAATCTTTCCTCTATAAATATTATTTGCTCAGACAAACATTTTGTCTGTTGGAATTGGTTTATCAAAATACAGTATGCAGTTTTGTTCTGTGCCTCTGTTGAATCTCATTACAACCACATATTGTTGCTTCCTCAATATATATTTCATCAAAGCTCACATTATTTATACATAGCAATTTGGTTATACTTTCACTCTAGATATTCCTCAAATTCCCTCTAACTTTTACAACTTTTCAATAATCTTAATAAAATGCAAAAAAACTTTCAGTCTTTGGAGGAGATAATTAAATCTGTCAGGGAATCATTTATTCATCTTAGAAAATATTATGCTAGTTCTTCTCATTTATTAAACATCATTCCTATCTTCTGTGGACAAAATCACTATTTTAACAAACCCCCCCCTCCAATTCCCTGAACTGTTGGCAACAGACATCAACACTATAAACTTTACTGGCAACAGAGTTGTGCCACTATTCTGCTTTCCACAAATGGATACTAGCTCGTTCTCAAGCTTTGTGATAAAAGATTTTGAGTGACCTCCTTCCAAATGCAACTAATGGAGCTGGCATGAGATAATATACCCCTTGCTTTTAAAAATTAAATTTTAATTTATCAAGAGATTCTCACAATTGCTTGCAGCTGGCTTGTACAGAAAAAGGGAAGGCTAGTGAGTTTTGAAAGTGGTTCCATTTTTCCTGTGTAAGTTTGTTCATTTGTTTAAAAATAAATGCCCTAAGCTATCCAGACATTCATGGGAATGAGACCTGTTTGAGAACCTCTGACTTAAATGAAAACAATAAAAGTGGTAGGTTACTGAGGGACATAGGAGTATTCTACATTGCAAAGAACTCTATAGAAAAAGAAAGATATACAGTAAACCTCAACTTGGCTGCAAGGCAAAGTAGCAATGTGATCCCAACACCAAGAAGGTTCAATCTAAAATTCAAAAAATAAACATCTTACAGAAGTCTACCCCATGTAATTTTTTTTTGCTGGCATTCAGATCTTACCTGTCATACAATTGTGAGGCCGTGAGAAGCTAAGATTATCACATTGCTGATAACGTTTGATACTGGGGTAATTTTATTTATCTATTATTAATTTACTTGCCACCCATCTCTCCCCAAAGAGACTCTTTTATAGGTAGTCCTTGACTTACGATCACAATTGAGCCCAACATTTATTTTGCTAAGTGAAGCGTTTGTTAGGTGAGCTTTGCCCCATTTTACCACCTCTCTTGCTACATTTGTTAAGTGAATCACTACAGTTGTTAAATTAGTAAAACAGTTGTTAAATGAATCTGGCTTCCCCACTGACTTTGTCCAAAGGTTGCAGAAGGTGATCACATGAACCCAGGAATCTGTAATCATCATAAATATGAACCAGTTGTCAAGCATCTGAATTCTGGTCACATGACCACGGGGATGCTGTAATGGTTGTGTGAAAATCGGTCATAAGTCAGTGCCGTTGTAACTTCAAGTGGTCACTAAACGAACCGCTGTATGTTGAGGACTATCTATATTTTGATAATTACTGATCTACTGTCAATCTATAACATTATATTCATGGTCACTGAGAAAAAATATATAATACACGCAATAAATACATTTTTAAAATGAAGAAGTCCTAACATTTGGAAAAGGAATAGCAACCACGGAGGCATCTCCTCGTTCTTGTTAGAGATGCACACCTACCTCTCAGCTGGCTAAAAGTGATAATGAATTTGCCGGTTACAGACTTCAGCTCATTGTTGGCCAACGTGATGAGATGTATGCCTTCAGCCACATGCCTCATGACTTTATAAAGGGCGATGGGAAATGTCATCAATTTGCAGTCTGCCAAATCTAAAGAAAAACAGCAAAGGAGGAAATAAGTTGCGTTCTGATGCATCCAATTTTTATTAGTTGTCTGTCCGTGAGGATTAGATACTTGCAGTAGAAGAATCAGGAGCAGATATACTTAAGATAACTTTGAAATAAAGTCTATCTTGATGAGACAGGATGGAGTGTTGCAACAGACCAGAATATCAAAATAATAGTGCTGCCAGGAGGTTATAATGCTGCAAAAATCCTATCACTTAATTATGTTTTTCTTATCACTTAATTATGAACCCTATTCACTGACAAACATAGCATGCAGGTAAGAAATGAAAAATGAATTATTGACAAGATAAACGCAGGTAGCTATTGTCTCCACTTCATTTTCAGAAATCAGTAAAAAGTCCACCCCGTTTCTGCTCTGGATTCTTCTATCTCATAACTTCTCTCTGAAGGCCTTGCCCTTCAAAAATACTTAAAGTTCAGTGGTAAAAGTGATTTTGCTCTTTTGAAGTGAACTGGCGGAGAACCTGCTCTCATCCTGTACGCGAGAAGAACACTCAAGTAACTCCTCCCTATTCTACGTTAATCTAGCCAGCATGTAGAACAGTGATGGCGAACCTTTTAGAGACCGAGTGTCCCAAAACCGCCCACTGCCCCCGCTCTGCCTCCTACCCTGCCTGCTCCATCCTCACCTGCCCCCTGCCCCACCTGCCCGCAGGCCACGCACAGCCTCCATGGCCTGCCGCAGATCGCCCAGGCAGCCCTGCAGCGCCATGGAAGCCACGCCCTCTGCCCACACCCCGCAGCACTATGGGGCTCAAGGGCGGAGTCTTGTCCCCGCTGCCCAGCTATGTCCTTGGCTGCGCTGCTCTGTGCAGGCTGTGCCTGGGGGTGACTCTCCTCCAGGGGGGCTGCTGGTGAGAAGGGGGCCACGGGGGGAGGTGGGGCTGGGGCAACGGTGCATGTGCCCACAGAGAGGGCTCCGAGTGCTGCCTCTGGCACGCGTGCCATAGGTTCGCCACCACTGATGTAGAAGAAACACAAGGGGGAAAAGCTATGGAATTGACTCAGCCTTCCATCCTTCCAAGGCTGGTAAAATGAGGAGCCGCGATTGTTGGGGGCAATATGCTGACATTGTAAACCGCTCATGCCAACCTGGCACTCTGATAAATCAGCCATTAACAGGGTATATAGAGATAAACAACATCTACACACCATTCAAAAGAGACAGTCAAAATGCCCAAAAGGAAACCAAAAGACCACAGAAATCTCCTCACCAGCAATCAACATCTATATGAGTAGAAATTAACACTAAGACCAACACTAGACTGACAATCAAAAAGTAAACAATGCCACAATCAAGGAACTGCCAATACAGACAAACAAGCCAACTGTAAACAGTAGTGTACTTAAAAGGCAAGCCACTGGTACAGTATATAAAAATAAAAGCAAACCCTTTTAGCACTGACAAAGTTACCTAGTTTGGTAATGAAATGTCTGCAAGAAAGCCACCAAGCTCACAGAGCACCGAGGATCCCACAGTGGTTTCCTGTTTCTACAATACTTAGTACTGTACTGTTTCACCACCAAGAAGTAAAATTCAGAGTTCTTCTTGGTTACATAGTCTTAGTAGAAGATAGCAGAAACATAGAAACATCACCTCAAAGTCAAATTGTTCATGTGCCAAATAAATAAATAAAAAGTGTTATTTCATTAAAAGTGAATTAGGTGAGTCTAAACAAACTAGTGGAGCACTTTTTATTGTGAGAATAATCTTCTGAAGATGCTAACAAATTGAGCAGTATGTAAGGCAGGGAATAGTTTTTATAGTCTCAAAACTGACTTCTCTAGCAACACTACGCCCTTCAGAAAAGCTGCATTAATCACAATGTAAGATCACAGGTTTTTATTTACTTATTAAATTTATATGCCCTTCATACGCCATGTATCATGGGATAAACATATATTTAATGTTTAAATAAATTAATATTATTATTATTAATAGAACATATGCACTGCTAAAATGAAGAAAAAACTTGTACAAAATATACAACATAAAACACAATGCACACCCACACACATAAAATATCAGTCAATTTTGAAGTCTCATCATGGGCAGAAGCTACCTGGGATACCTGATGAATGAACTTCACAGGGACTTAGATGAGGGCAAGTACTCTTCTGAGACCCACAGATTCTCAGCAGCTTTTAATATCATCAACCCTGGTGCCCTTCTGGGTCATCCACAATAGGGTTTCCCAACCTTGCCAATTTTAAGAGGTGGGGACTTCAATTCCCAGAATTCCCCAACCAGCCATGCTTCTGGGAATTGAAGTCCACACCTCTTAAAGTTGCCAAGATTGGAAAATCCTGACCTATAACAATTAGAAGTTGGAGTTCATCCATGGCAATTTCAGTCCAGAATCACTAGCTCAGTGCTTTCTCCCTTGCCATGTTCTTCAGCCCCTTTATGAACCTGAAAATATGTGCATCTTTATGACTAAAAACATATTTGATTCCTTTTCAAGCAGAAAATATTTTGCTTTAGCACTAAATGTCATGATTGCAGCCCCTGCGGCCCAAACATCTGATTAAGGTCCCTTTTCATTCATATGTTGCTTACCTTTGCAAGCATATCTCTAGCAGATCTTGTTTGATCTCAAAAAAAATGAGAAGGGCTGGATCTGATTAGTATTTGGATGGAAAAACCAAGAGGAAACCCACAAATAAGGCTAGGCTGAGATAGCCCTTGTTTCCCTCCACAAGGCAACAATGGCAAATGCCTGTACTAGGGGTCTTCAAACTTGGCCCTTTTATGACTTGTGGACTTCAACTCCCAGAATTCCTCACCCAGCCTCCATTTTGTTTGTTAGATTTAAGACAGGGGTCTTCAAACTTGGCCCTTTTATGACTTGTGGACTTCAACTCCCAGAATTCCTCAGCCAGGCACGCTGGGTGAGGAATTCTGGGAGCTGAAGTCCACAAATCATAAAAGGGCCAAGTTTGAAGACCCCTGACCTGTACTATAGTCAAGACAATGAAATGGAACGCGCATGAAGCCAGAAGAATCAAGGGAATCTTTCCACCAATCTCTCATTTCTTTTTAAGACAAGTAAATTTTAGACTTGACTTTACTAGATGGATGAAGTGTCAGAAGGCAAAAGGCTTATTATTTTGGAATGTTTATTAAGCACATGACATGGACTTTGTAGTTTGCTAGCTAACATAGTTACTTTATATTTTACTTTGTATTTTAAACATAGTTACTTTATATTTTACTTTGTATTTTAAACATAGTTACTTTATATTTTGATTTGACTTGTTATCTCTCTTTTAAAATGACGTTCAGGCTCATTGATGTTCAGACTGGAACGTAGGAATAGCTTTTAACAAACCGAAAAGATAAACAGGCTGGAGACTCTCTCCAGATAAGAGAAAGTTTGTTAGCACAAATTTGGGTTTGGTTTATCACTTTCGTGAACGCTAAACAACCTTTTGCCTTACTATTCACGCCCCTTCTGAGGTCAGATCTCATTTTAATGAACATGTGTGCTATTATGGGATGCAAATATGTAACATGTTCGACTGCATGTAACTGATTTCCTATGCAAAGGGGAGGTTACATTTGCCCTGTCCAATTAACTTTCCTCTTGGATTTTTCTTTTGTTTTGTTAACTATAAAAGGGGATGTAAGCTAAGGATCGGGGTTCCCTCTTTGATTGAGAGAATCCCTTTTGTCTGAATATTCTGATAAATTGTAATAAAATGATCTTCTTGTCTCGGTCTGTGTCTCATTGGGAAATACGCATGCCGAGGCATGAATCTGAAAAAGCCATATTTGGCCTTCAGCGCCTATAATGTATAAAAGGTTCAGTTTTAGGTAGTCCTCAACTTACAACCACAACCGGAATCAGAATTTTCGCTGTTAAGCAAGGTGATTGTTAAGTGAGTCTTGCCCGGTTTTATGACCGTTACTGCCATGGCTGTTAAGTGAAACACGTGATTGTTAAGCAGGCCCAGCTTCCCCCATTGACTTTGCTTGTCAGAAGTTGGCTGGGAAGGTTATCAACGGCGATCCCATGATCCAAGAACACGACAACCATCATATATACATGCCAGTTGCCAAGCGCCCAAATTATAAGCATGTGATTGTGGGAATGTTGCAATGGCTGTAAGTCATTTTTTCCTACACTGTTGTAATTATTAACGGTTGCTAAAAAAAATGGTTGTAAGTTGAGGACTATCTGTATACAAATTCTAAAGCTGCCAATTAGGTGTTCAGAAATCCATGCTTCTTTTGGTGTTAATGGGCTTTTCTTTCTACTTCAATTAGTCAGCACTTGAAAAGATCATAAATCCATTACATACAATCCAACAAGATCATGGAAGTTTATAAACACAGTCAACATGTTCCACCTTTAAAATTCTTCCCTGTATTACTAATACTATACAGATTAACAGCAGAGTTCCTGCATCATACTTAGTCAACATTTAATTGTGATCAATTAAACAAACCACAATTCGATGATTACTCAATACGCTAAGCCATAAACTCTGGTTTGCAAGCCAGGGTATTCCAACTCACACAATAAACATAGCTTGGGAATTCTTGAAATTTGTTATACCCTATATGACACCCTAGAATGATAAATGAGATTGTGTTCCTCCCCATGAATAAAAACTAATGAACGGGTGCTCGGTTATCCTCACAGTGCCAGCTATCATTTTAGCATCAATGGGCTCAATACAATATCTTTTATCCTCTTTGCACCCATCAAATTGACTCCCAGTCACAATTTGGTTCTACTCCCAGCAATTTCAGGAAAAGTACATAGGGTTCCTGATCTTAAGAACCAGATCTTAGAAGAGGATTATTGGCTGTAGAGCCAAAGAAATGAATTCAAAGAACAGATTAGAAAGAGAATTCCTAGAAGCCCAGATGGGCTTTTGGAGAAAAAATTTAGGAACACTTGGAAACCTATGATGTTTGATCATGATCCATAGTTGGACAATCCCTGTAGTAA